ATGTATGTATGCATGTATGTATATGCATGCATGCATGCATGCATGTATGTATGTATGTATGTATGTATGTATGCGTGTATGCATGCGTAAATGTGCATGTGTGTGTGTGTGTATGTATGTGTGTATGTGTGTATGTATGTATGTATGTATGTATGTATGTATGTATGTATGTTTGTTTGTTTGTTTGTTTGGTCAGAACCTGCATACACCTTCCTTCTAGAGGCCTCCGCATGTCGCACACACAATTGCTGCAAGTGCATAGCCCCAAAGCATCTTAACCACCCTAACACACCGCTTTCGGTCTTAAACTCACCCATGATGTCGAATTCATAGACACCCCGACACAAAAGCCTGCTAAACTAGCGGTGGTAACTATCGTAGTCAAGTCAAGGTGTCCAGATGGGTTTAGGGTTTAGGGTATAGGGTTTAGGGTTTAGGGCCCTAATTACACTGGTATCTTCCGTGACTCCACAGCAGGAGCTCTGGCAGAGAGCCATTGACCTCATTCTCGCACAGGAGGCCGAAAAGGCCCGGCAACACTACGGTGCCGCGGTGGAGCACAGGGAAAGAGCAAGTTTAAAGTTTAAAGGTTTTGCCCTAGGGTGTAGCATAGAGAAAAGAGTGCGAAAGAGAGAGAGAGAGAGAGAGAGAGAGTCAGAGTCAGCGAGGGAAAACGAGAGAGAAAGAGAAGGATAAAGAGAGAGAAAGAGAGATCCAGAGAGAGAGAGCGAGAGAGAGAGAGAGAGAGAAAAAGAGAGAGAAAGAGAGAGAAAGAGAGAGAGAGAGAGAGAGCGAGAGAGAGCGAGAGAGAGCGAGAGAGAGAGAGAGGACCCAACACCCTTTCATGAAACCATTACTCCGCAAGTGTCAAGAGAGGTCCTCAAGGTTTTGTGTGCGATTAAGATCAATTTCTTCAGCCAAAATCGAGAAAGCTTCTCGCGGTATGTTCACCGTAAACCCCAATCCCCCAAACCACACCCTGGAGCCGGCAAGAGCATGCATTAAATTATCAGAAACCTCATTCCACAAGCCCTCAACTTGAAAATCGCCAAACCAGATGACCCCTAAATCAACTAACATCCCGTGTCGAACCGGAACCGGTCAAGGAAGCGGCACACTCCCAAGCCTAAAGCCTAACCCCTAAACCCTAA